AACAGGGAGGGGGACAAAACAGAAGAGACTCATAAATATGGAGAACAAATTGAGGGTTACTGGAGGGGTTGTGGGAGGAGGAATGGGCTACATGGGTAAGGGGCAATAAGAAATCTACTCCTGAAATCATTGTTGCACTCTATGCTAACTAATTTGGATATAAATTTTAAAAAATAAAAAACAAACATGCTAATGAAAAAAAAAAGAGAAGAAAATTACCTCCACATGATCATGGCCACTATGAAAGCCCACCTCTGACAGCATATTGAACAGTAAAATACTAAAACCATTCCTGCCACATCAGGAGCCAGGCAATGATGATCACCCCCAACATGAGTATTCCACATGATAACGTGAAGAATAAACATGCTGCCTCAAACCATATCATCGTGTCACATTGCTGATTTGGATGAAAGTCACATGAGAAACAGCCAGTCCAGAGACATCAGACCCTCGTTTGTCCCTTCACATCAGGAAATAAATCTCCCTTGGGAAAACTCCCTTACCTGTTCCAGGAGGGAAGAACTATCCTTAGCACCAGAATAAGAAACACAGGGACAAGAAGGCTGTGAAAACAAACCTAGTTACTTGTTGACAAATTAAATACCCCAAACCCACACCTTTGCGTTAACTCTTTCCAAATCCAATGTTTTGTTGTCTGAAAGTCACAGGTGCCACCTGATTTGTTTATTCTCTGGGCATCATATCATTAGGAAGGCCACGCACTTGCAAAATGAAATTTATCCTCCCCTTTAGATCAGTCTCATGTCAATTGAATCCTTATACCAAGTGAAAACCCAGAAGAACGGAAAAGAATTCTTCTCCTACAACTGGAAGAAGTACCTACAAACTTTGGCAATAAAAAGAAATAAAAGACATTTAAATCAGTACAGAGGAAGGAAAATTACTTGTTTGCAGATGACATTGATCTTAAACATAACAAAGCCCTAGAGATACCACAAAAAAATATCATAACCAGTTTTTTTTAAATGAGGAAAAGTGCAGGATGCACAATGAACAAAGAAAATAAATAAAAATAAACCACCTGTGATTCTACACACCAGCATGGAAATACATGCAAAATAAATAACAAAATTATACAAGTGAAAATGGCACAGAATAAAGTATTTTGGGTTAAACTTCAAAAAGTGTGTAAAATACTTGTAGAGTAAAAATGATCTATGTTGATGAAAGACCTGTAAAAATGCACACAGGACTGCAAATATACCTGTGCTCACTGATTAGAATTATTCATATTTTCACAGCACCATCTACACAAATTAAACTACAAGTGCGTCCCTAACTCTGTCGTTCACTTTTAAAGAATCAAATCTAAGTCTGGAGTATGATATATATGTCAGAGGACATGCAAATGGGGTCCTCTCTGTGCTGATAAAACCAGCCCATCCCAGACCCTGCAGCAGGGAGAGGAGCCCCAGCCCCGGGAGTCCCAGGTGTTCCCATTCTCTGATCAGGACAGAACAGACACCTCACCATGGAGTTTGTGCTGGGCTGGGGGTTCCTGGTTGCTCTTTTAAAAGGTAATTCATGGTGAATGGGAGACACTGAGTATGTGAGTGGATAAGAGTGAGAAACAGTGGATGTGTGACAGTTTCCTGATGAAGATGTCTTATGTCTGCAGGTGTCCAGTGTGACGTGCAGCTGGTGGAGTCTGGAGGAGACCTGGTGAAGCCTGGGGGGTCCCTGAGACTCACCTGTGTGGCCTCTGGATTCACCTTCAGTAGCTCTTGGATGAGCTGGGTCCGCCAGGCTCCAGGGAAGGGGCTGCAGTGGGTCGCATATATTAATACTGATGGAAGTAGCACAAACTACGCAGACTCCGTGAAGGGCCGATTCACCATCTCCAGAGACAACTCCAAGAACACGCTCTATCTGCAGATGAACAACCTGAAGTCTGAGGACACGGCCACATACTACTGTGCAAGAGACAGGGTGAGGGGACCTCACTGGGAGCCTAGACACAAACCTCCCTGCAGGAGGGGATCAGCACCACCAGGGGGCGCACACTATGCACAATTCTGCTTTGTGTTGCCAGGAGCAGGTGCAGATGGAGGTTACAGGCAGGTTTCCTGTCAGGGTCTGGGGCTTCCTCTCCACACAGCAGTTTCCCCAGGGAGCCTCCCTGGACACAGGATTCTGTGTTTACCCATTAACTCACTGAATTAGCAATTGTGTTGTCATAGGAAAACTACCCTAACATGCACATAGACACAGTTGTTTGCACTTTCTTCCTCCGGTCCCTGAACATGAGTGAATTACAGATTTCTTGAGGCACAACAGCTGAACCTTTACAGGAGTCTCAGATGCACCCCCTGTGCAGCCAGGACCACAAGATCCCACAGTTCCCCTTTATCTTCACCCAGCAGTTGTCCCAATCAAACAACCTGAAACTTCCCTCCTGGCACTTGCTACTCAGGACTTTAAATGAGCTACAGCTTTATTCAATTCCTCTAAAGAAGAGATAATTCATCTCTATGTATTAGTCAGGATTCTCCCGAGCAACAGAAACCAAAGAAACTGGTTTCCATGACTAAATACATTGATAAGCCCTACATTCCACTCTCACATGCTAGAGACCCAGGAAAACCAGTGGTGTAATTCTCATCTGATTCTGAACTAGTGTCTAGTCTCAGAATGTGGAGAGCTGATGATGTAACTCGCAGAACAAGGGCCAGAGGAAACCAATGTTCCAATTCAAACAGGCACATGGGAAGTAAAACTGAGGGAATTCCTCCTCCCTGTGCATCAGATTTTATTCAGAACCTTAATGGAATGGGTGATGCCCAGGCAGACAGAAACCATGGATATAAATGCCAGTCTCTTCTGGAACACATCACAGACATCCACAGAAACAGTGGGGAGTCTGGGCACCCATGATGCAGTCAAGGTGACACATAAACATAATCATGACAATTCAACCTCCTGTAAATGTGCTTTTCAAAGACTGAAGATTTAGAAGTCCATGCCATCACTGGCATGGAGCCTGGTGGGCATAGCTGTGCTTCTGTGGTGAAGGAGGGCAGAGTCGCATAGGGAGAATTGTGGTCTGAGTATCCCCTGGGAGACTTGGGGAGAGACAGTTCCCTTCTCAGGTTGCATTTCATAAAGGGTGTATTGCCTCTCGTGGGGCAGGGGAGCTGACAGGCACCATTGCACTGCCCTGGTCATTAATATAGGAGCCTCTGCTGAGAGCAGCTAACTTAACACTGCCTTGTTGTTCCCCACCATGAACTCCAAGCCCCTAGTGTTCATGCAACTGCCCTTCTGGGATAACCAGCTCCAGCCACAGCACAACCCTCTTGCAGAGGATCAGTGGGGTCCCTGTCATATTCAGTTCATACGATTTGGAGTTTTCAAACCCAGCTAGAGCTCCTGAGATAAAATGTAAGAGCCATGTGCTGCCAGGTGGGCCAATGGTTTGGACACAGACAGGGTGAATGCAGGGTTCTGACGGAAGCCTGGGACGCACGAGTATAGATTGTTCTCTCTGTGTGAGGGCTTCCTGAACAGCGGTGGCTGGGAACTCCAACGCAGGGACTAGAGGGGGAAATGATGTCAATATTTCCTCCCACCAATCAGCATGGACAGAGTTCAGTGAGCAGCACAGCAGCCCCAGTAAAGATGAGCCACTGACACCAAGATCCACCCCCCTTGCCTTCCTCAGGTGCTTCCTTTCTAGGGAAAGAGTGCCTGGAAACCAGACCTGCATTGTTTCCCTTCCTCCAAAGACCACATATACCCCCACACGCACCAAGTCTACTGACCATATAGTGAGGCATAGCTTCACCTCTAGAGGAAATAGGAATTAGCCTCTTTTAACAGGCAGAACAAACTCACCTAGTTAAAACTCACAACATTGTGGACAATGTCTAAACACTCATCACTGGAGACAAGGAGAAACTGCAGAGGACTTAGCTGAGGGACAGAGCAGCCAATACACGACTGCACAGTGCACACAGAATGTGCAACAGATGCTTCCTAAAGTGGCAAGCCCTCAACAGTAATTGTACACTTCTCAATAAAGACACTACTCTAGAAAAAGAAAACATAACAGGATTTTCTAAAACACTTAAGCAAGCGGAGACATAGATATACACCATGATGGAGGAATTCGTCCCAAAGGAAAAAACAATAAAAGGTCATTGCCAGGGATATTATTAAAACACATATAACTAATATGCCTCAAACAGAATTTCTAAAAACTCTCACAAGGAAATAGAATTTTTAAAAACTATCATAAGGATAATAGGTGTGCTTGAGAGAAGCATAGGAGACATGAGGGAAACCCTTACTGCAGATAGAAAAGACCTAAAACCTAGTCATGCTGAAATTTTAAAAATACTGTAACTAAAATGGGAAACTGATTGTATATAATGACCTCAAGGAAGAAAGAAGCAGATGAATAAGTGACATAGAAGATAAAATTATGGGGGAAATGAAGCAGAAAATAAGAGGAAAATTAAAATATTTCATCACAAACATATACTGAGGGAACTCAGCAACTCCATAGTGTGTAATCAAATGCTGTTCAAAGGAGTCTGGGAGAAGAGAGGGAGAAAAGAAGAAGTGTTATATGAGTGAATTTCCATGGGAAATTCCCAAAACTGGGGAAGGAAACAGACATACACATCTAGGAGGCACGGAGAACTCCCATTAAAATAAAAAATGGCAGGCCAACACTGAGACATATCATAGTAAAATTGGCAAAATACACAGAAAAAGACAAACCCTATAAGCACCAAGACAAAAGACGTCGCTAACTAAAGAGGGAAGATAAAAGAAATGATTATGGAAGATATATCCACAGAAACCTTCAGGCAAGAAAGGAATGACATGATATCCACAAGATGCTCAATTGAAAATTATGCATCTAAGAATACTTTCACCAGTAAGACTGTCATTCGGATACAAGAAGAGATAGAAGTTCCCAGAAAGGTAAAAACCAAAGGAGTTCATGGCCTCTAAACAAGCCCTGCAAGAAATATTAAAGGGGACTCTTTGAGTGGAAAAGGAAGACTAAAAGAAACAAAGATTAGAAATAAGCAGAGAAAGTCTCCAGAAACAGTGACTTCAGAGGTAACACAATGGCACTAAGTTTATATCTATCAATAATCACTGTGAATGTAAAAGGGAAAAATGGTCCAATCAAAACACATAGGATATCAGAATGGATTAAAAAAATACAAGACCTTCTGTACACTGCATACAATAGGCTCATTTTCAACCTAAAGCAACTGTAGATGGAAAGTGAGGGGAGGGAGAACAATTTATCAGGCTAATGGACATCAAAAGAAAGGTGTAGTACCATACTTATATCACACTAACTAGATTTTAAACCAAAGTCCGTTACAAGAAATGAGGAAGTCAGTGTATCATCATGAAGGGGTCTATACAGCAAAAAGATATAAAGCTTTAAATATTTATACACCAATATATAAATCAATTGATAAGAAACATTAAAAACTTATTGATAATAATACAAGAATAATAATAGAGAACTTTAACACTCCACCTACCGAAATGGACACATTACCTAAGCCAAAATTAATAAGGAAACAACGGCTTAGAAAGACACACCTGACCAAATGGACTTAACAGATATATTCAGAACATTCCACCCTAAAGCAACAGAATACTCATTCTTTTTGACTGCACATGCAATATTCTCCACAACAGATCACATACTATGTCATAAATCAGCTCACTACAAGTTCAAAAGACTGAGATCATACATGCACATTTTCATACCAAACACTATGAAACGTGAAGTCAACCACAAGAAAAACTTTGGCAACACCACTAATACATAAGGTTAAAGAACACTGTGGTAAAGAATGAATGAGATTTTCAGGAAATTAAAGAAGCAATAAAAAATACATAGATGCAAATTAAAATGAAAACATGCCATTGCCCCATCTGGATGCAACAAAAGTGGTTGGAAGAGGGAAATATATAGCAATACAGGTCAAACTCAAGAAAGAAGAAAAATCTCAAACACACAACCACCTCACAACTAAAAAAGCTAGAAAATGAACAGCAAATGAACCCTAAAGCCAGTAGAAGGTAAATAAAAAACATTAGAGCACACAAATGATAAAGACATAAACAAAACATTAGACAGATCATTGAAAATATAAGTTGGTTTTTGGAGGCATAAATAAAAATGATAAACCCAAGGCCAGAATTACGAAAAACAAAAGAGAAAAGACTAAGTCAATATAACCACAAATTTAAGACGAGAGATCACAACTAATAGCACAGAAATACAATCAGAAGAAAATATTTTGGAAATTTATATTCCAACAAACTGGTCAATCTGGAAGAACTGGATAAATTCCTACAGTAATGGAAACTACAGTAACTGAAATAGGAAGAAATAGAAAACCTGAACTGACTGATAATGAACAAAGCAATTGATCCGTAATCAAAACTCTACTGAAACACAAAAGACCAGGGCCTGAGGGCTTCACAGGTGAATTCTACCTGATATTTAAAGAAGAGTGTAAATAATCTATTTAAGTAGCATAGAAGATTCTAGTCTTCTGAAACTGTTCCAAATAATAGAAATGGAAAGAAAACTTCCAAACTCATTCTATAAGAACAGTATGACCATGGTTCCAAATCAAACAAAACCCCACTAAAAAGGAGACTTAAAAGCCACTAGCCCTAATGAGCGTGGATGAAACAATTATCAAGAAAATAAGTGCAACTTGAATTCAAAAATACGTTAAAATTATCATTTACCACGATCAGGTGGGATTCATTCCTTGGTTGTAAAGGTGGTTCAATATTCACAAATGACTCAATGTCATACAACACATCAATAAGATAAAGGATAAAAACTATACGATCCTCTCAATAGATATAAAAAAGAGCATTTATCAAAGTACAGCAACCTTTCTTAATAAAAACCCTCAACAAGGCAGAGAGGAAACATACCTTAACATCATAAAGACCATATATGAAAACTCCACAGGTACTATCCCACAGTAGGGAAAATAACCTTTTCCTCTACTGTCAGGAACACAAGAGGGATGCCCACTCCCATCATTCTACTTAACATATCACTGGAAGTCTTATCCTCACAGACAACAAAAAGAAATAAAGGCATTCAAATTGGCAAGAAAGAAGTTAAACGTTCACTCTTCACAATGACATGACACTCTATATAGAAAACCCAAGAATCCACCAAAATATTGCAAGCA